TTTTCTTCTTCGAAGGGGGGGCCTGCCCAGCTCGTCGCGCCAGCAGCCGCGGTCGAAGTGCCCTTCAGCTTCGGCGACATGGCGCCGCGCACGTCGCACCATCACTTCCAGCAGCAACGGTGCCACCACCCCTTCCCGCATGTCCGAATCGGCCACGAAAAAAAAAACTTGCTTCCCCCTTACGTCAGCCATCTCCAACCGCGCCAATCTGGCAACACCGAACCGCAGAGGTCGCAACGAGCCGGCATGGCGCGGGCTGAGCTGGGGCTGAGCTGGGGCTGAGCTGGGGCCAAAACGGCTAGATATGTCTCCACGTCGCCCCTATACCTTGCAGCTTCCTAGACGCATGGGCCCCCATGGCCGAGGGGCCCCATTCCCCCTGCCCCGCCCCCCCCCCCCCCCCTCCCCCCGCACACGCACCCATGCGCACATTGGTTTTTCCACGCCGAGCGGATAGCGGCGCGCAGTATTCACCCATCCCATTGCCGTCCTACACTGCCCCAGCGCGCATGGCAAGCGGCACGCCTACTCGAAGACTAGCTTGGATAACGCGTGCTCTTTCGCCTCTTGCAGGCCTACCTTGCCCGCGTTGAGCTTCTCCTTCACCTGGCGGCCGATTTCCAAGAGATGCCCCTTGCTGGCCGCGCAGCGCCCCCCCCCCCCCCCCCCCCCCCCCAAAAGGAGATGAGCTGCGAGCCGCCCATCACGCGGAGCCCCGCGGAGTGGCTCTTCTGGCAGTACATCGCGCTGTCGAACTGCTCGGTCTTGCAGTCGAACGCGCGGCCTTTCTCGTCAGCGAATTTGCCAGGGTCAGCGGCCGCGGGCTTCGCCTTCGGAAGCTCGGCGGCCGCGGGCTTCGCCTTAAGCTCGGCGGCCGCGGGATTCGTCGCGGTGGCCGCGGGCGTCGGGGGCGCGCCCTTCATGCCGAGTGCGGTGTGCTCGGCGTCGTCGTTCTCCCCGGGACCCTCGGCCTCGTCGGCCGCGCCAATCCCCCCCCTCCCTCCTTACCCTCGCCCCCCTCGTCTGCCATGGCCAGGTCCACGTCCTCGACGCGCCAGGCGCCAGTCGCCGCTGCAGGCTTCTTTTTGATCCCGCTCGTCGTATTAAGGGCCGGTTTCTTCTTCGCGGGCGGGTTCTGCTTCCGCGCTGCGAAGTCGGCGCCGGCGATCTCCGACGCCCACGTCGCGCCATCGGCGAAGGTGGCCACGCGCGTCCCCTTCTCGCCAGGGGCGAAGTTGAACTCCCTGGGCCCCCCGCTGTCGTCGGTCTCCTTGAGCTTCATTCGGTTGCAGTCCACCTCGCAGACGCTAGCGCGCTTCGGCGAGGGCTTCTCGGCCGCGGGAGGCGTCGGCAAGTCCACGAGCGACTGCTTCCGCGTCGACGTCCTCCTCGTCGTAGTCAGGGCTGCGCCCGAGCTTGGGCTCGGGCTGCCCCGGGGAAAACCCACGAAATACTGACCTACCATATTTTCAAAATTAACCCCACATCGAGACCCCCACGGTTCGGGGGCAATTGTTTCGGGCCAGAGGGGGCCAATAATTCCCCCCCCCCCCCCCCCAAGCCCGAACACACCTGGTGCCCTGAGACCTGCGAGCGGCCATGCGTCGAGACGCGTCGCGCCGCGCCACCCGCCCAGGACAAGTAACGTCGCAAAACCACCGGCAAACAGAGTGTAAATATTTATCCCCAAACTCGCCCCGCGTCTCCCGCAATCCCAACGTTCGCGCCATTTCGCAGCCGCGTCTGCTCCTCTCGCGTCTGCTCCTCTCGCCCCAGCAGAACGACGATCCCAATCCCAAACAATCAACCAATGAGTTCGGCGAGATGCTCGTTCCCCCAGCGAAGCATGCAAACGTTTCTGCTAAGGGCGCACGCGGGCCTCGGGCAAGTCTACGCACGACCCGCTAGATGTTTCCCAGGACGAGGGTAGGGATAATAATGTCTTCGCGGACATATGCCCCCGTTCACCTCGTCTGCGACGCGCCGACGGGTCTGGATCTGCCGCCGGACACCGCGGGCAAGGCGACCCCCGGCGCGAGGCCCCTGAGGAACGAACGGAAGAGGAAGACACTCCCGCGGAACATCGCGGACTCTGGAGACGACGCCGGAGAGGAAACCCAGCCGAGTGGCCCGGGGCGCCCTGGATCTGCAGGGGGCCACGCTCGGCAGTCATTTGTCGTCGCCGCCCTGGCAATCCTTTTCGGGGAGCATGGGCGACTGCCTTCGCCGCGATTGCGCAGCTCCTTGTATGCCGACGCCTTGCCTCGAGCATTGTCGGCCACCTGCTACGCGAGGTTCGGCGCGACCAGTGCCCTGCGTGTCCCCGGGCCCCGCCCCGTGAAGTCATCCGCCCCGGTATAGTCGGGGCTGCCAGGACAGTTCGCGCGCGCCTGCTCGGTCAGCATGGCCCGACGCCCGAAAGCCTCCAACGAGACCAGCGTGGGGATGTCGAGCCGGTCGACCTCCGCCGACAGCTCGAAGACCTTCATGATGCAGAAGTGCTCGCGCACCGAGCGGTCGCCTCCAGAGTTCACCTGTTGGGCCCAGTTGTAGTGGCGCTGGACCGGGCCGCCGCTGCGGGCGATTTCCTCCAAGTACAAGAGGACCGAAGCCTCGCTGTCCAGCGGGGAGTCGCCGTGGTCCTGGTGCATCATCATGTCCACCGCCATCACGAAGCAGCGGCGGCGGACGTTCCCCCTCCAGGCCACAGGCAACGCGCGGGTGTCGGCAGCGCACATTCAGCGTCTCGACAGTCATCGTAGTCGAGCCACCACCTTTCGCGGGCGCGGAGGAATGTCCAGGGTAGGGGCGGTACTCCGAGTTACGAGCGAAGGCGTGGCCCGAACAGACAGCATTCCTCCATATCTTCCAGTCTGCGGCCTTTGGAGGCCCTTTTTCCTGGAAGTCTGTCCCCATCCCCTCCGACCTTGCGCTCCTCACCGACAGCAGTGGCGCGAGCACGAAGGTACAGCGACACGTCGGAGAGGCCCGTCGCCACAAACAACACGGAAAGCATGCCGAACCTCCGGGTCAGGCCCACGCCCGTAGAACTGGGCGACGACGTTCCCTTCAGAGTCCAGCGCTCGAAACGCCTGGACATCCCACGGCACGTAGACATGCTGGGGGCACACGTCGCCGTCCGCCGTCAGAATCCACCACGACCAGTGACTGGCCAGAGGGTCCTCCCCGTGCACTGCTGTGTCGCCCACGGTCGAACACATCCTCAGAAACACCACATCGTGCCAGAGGTCCGGCTCGTCCACATAGAGCAGAGGACCTTGAGTCCTCCCTGCAGCGCCGGTCTCGTGCCAACGCCGCTAGCCATCTCGAAAGCAGCCGATGCGCGAGTAGAGAAGGGCCAGCAGGATGTTCAGGTAGAAAGCGGCGCTCTCGACCACGACGGCGAGCAGCTCGATATACCACGACATTCCCGACTCGGCGAGCGGCTGCGCAATGAGAGACCCAACATCTCCGCGAATCCTGAACAGGAGGCTGGACAGGTCAGGCTGTAGAGCACCAGTTGTGCCGCCACAGCACAAGGACACCCCAGCGAACCATGAGGACCAGTCCACAGCGGCAGCGGCGATGGGGCGAACCATGCTCCTGTGAACGCGGCGAAAAGGAAGCGTCGGGCACCCTGAAGGGTATCAAGCCCTGAAACAACTTGTGCCGTATGGTTGAAGATCAAGCACAGGTTCATAATCTCAACTCGCCTTTGGAGGCTTATCTGCAGATGTGACACGGCCCAGGCTCCATGGAGTACCGCCTTCACCAAAACAATATCTGGGGTTGCGGAGCGAGATCGCAATGGAACGGAGACCCCCAACCGGGAAATCGTTTCGTGTCGTTCGTGTCGTGCGTGCGGGCGAGGCGAAGCTGCGTGGGCGCGCGAGAGGAATGAACCCGCCGTTGCTAGAGCGAAGCCAAGACACATTATCATCCTCCGCCCGACCTTCTGGCGAGGGCTCGCGGTGTTCCGCGGTGTCCCGCGGTGTCCCGTGGTGTCCGCCGTTGCTAGGGCGAAGTCGGGACAAATGATTATCCTCCGCCCGCCCGTCCGGCGGTGGCTCGCGGTGTCCCGCGGTGTCCCGCGGTGACCCGTGGTGTCCCGTGGTGTCCGCCGCTGCTAGGGCGAAACCAACACAACTGATTCTCCGCCGCCCGCAAAGTCCGTCCCGTCCGTCCGACGGTGGCTCGCGGCGTCCCGCGGTGTCCCGTGGTGTCCAGTGGTGTCCTGTGGTGTCTCGTGGTGTCCCGTTGAGCGAGATCGATAGTGAGATGGATAGTGAGATCGACAGTGAGATCGATAATAAGATCGATAGTGAGATCGGTGTGGTGCCCCGAGGTGTCCCGTGGTGTCCCAAAAAAGTGAGATCGATAAAAAAATCGACAGAGAGATCGACAGCTGTCCCGTGGTGTCCTCAAAAAGTGAGATCGATAGTGAGATCGATGGAGAGATCGATAGTAAGATCGATACTGATATCGATGTGGTGCCCCGATGTGTCCCGTGGTGCCCCAACAAGCGAAATCGATGGTGAGATCGACAGGTGTATCGACAATGAGATCGATAGAGAGATCGGCAGGTGTCCCGTGGTGTCCCGTTGAGTGAGATCGATAGTGAGATCGATAGTAAGATCGATGTGGTGTCCCGAGGTGCGCCGTGGTGTCCTATGGTGTCCCGTTGAGTGAGATCGATAGTGAGATCGATAGTGAGACCGATAATGAGATTGAGAGGTTTCCCGCGGTGTCCTGTGGTGGCCCGTGGTGTCCCGTTGAGTGAGATCGATAGTGAGATCGACAAGTGTCCCGTGGTGTCCCGTGGTGTCCCGTCGAGTGAGATGATAGTGAGATCGATTGAGCCAAATGTTGGTTCCCCCCCCTCTGCCCCCCCCCCCCACACACAAGATCCCTATCACCCGAAGGGTGGTCGTATAGGTATGCTTTATATACACAATTAAGAAAACGCACATGTATCAACATGGAAATGATTCGAACGGGTCCTTGCTGATTGGCGCTCTGAGCACGAAGTGGAAGATGGCGAATACTAGGCAAAGCATCGCTAAGCACAAAGGGAATGACAGCAGCCGAAGAGCATACTTCGACACCACGTCGGAGTCAGAGACCCCGCACGAAAGGTTCAACACTGAGAAATCGAACGCCGCGACCGAGAAACCCGTAAACATGGATTTGATCGGGTCGATCCAATTGACCTTCATGGTGAAAAACAGCGACAACGTCTGGAGAATCATGATTGTCTGGCTCATGCAGATGGCCACAGAGACCGTGTTCATCCTGACCTTGGTAACGTCCACCCTTGCGAAGAACGCCATTCCGACCAATCCACAGAGCGTTGCGATGGCGGCCCCGATCAGGGGCAACACGGCGCTCCCTTGGCACATCTGGCACTCCCCATTCGACCCGACGTGATGGTTCTCCTTGCAGGAAGCACAACCAATTTCAGAAGGGTCACGCCCATCCGCGCACGTGCCGGCGTCTCCTCCCGGGCACTCCAGCTCGTCCCGGCATCGGTAGACAGAATACTCCCTGTCAATGCCGTCCTGTTCGCTGACCCAGAAGCCAGCAAGGAGCTTCGGGGGAGGGTCATCGTCGCCCTTTTCGCAATCCATGCCCTGCGGGCACGCATTACACTCCGCGTGCACCCCGTCCATCTCAGAGTGGCCCTTGGCGCGAAAATAACCGTCGTCGCAAACGCACTCCTGGGGAAACGCAGAAATGCCGATACCGCTGGCGCACCCTGAACTTCTCCCATGAGGCGTTCCGACCAGGATTTCAAGGTGACTCCAGCCGTGACGACGAGGGCTCCACGGGAGGAGACTCCGAAAGGCGAAAACGAAGGAGTGGCGTCGGGGCTTGTACTCTGGTCAAGTCCAAGCTTGGCCCCGCCAGCGGACCCAACCCTCACAGGAGGTCGGGATGGATGCCGCATCTCTTGGATTTCGCAGCGCGCATTCCCACTTGGATGGGGGTTCGCTGGGGGAGCTGACCTACCCTGTCCAAGACGGGGTTGGGATGGTTCTGAAGATGATGAGGAATGACATCGGTATCGGTATGATGTTCTCTGCTGAAGTCCCACGAGGTCGTGGCGCCACGGATCATGGTGCTCTCGTGCGTGGCGCAGCTCGTGCAGGCCGTGTTGTCGCTACCCTCGGCGTAAGTGCCCACCCCGCAGTCTGTGCACGCGGTATTCCCCTCCGAGCTTGTGAACTTGCCGGATGAGCACGACTCGCACGCGGTCTGGCCGGGCGACTTCTGGAAGGTACCGGCTGGGCAGGACATGCAGATCCTGGGGCCCGCCACAGAGGTGTAACACAGACTCGGGCGGACCGCTCTTGGGCTCTGGGCCTCGGGGAAGGGTGTGGGGAGCGATGTGCACGCCACCGCTCTCCACGCCAGCGGGCGTGCGCACCGCCCCCCCCTCCCCTCTCGAGGGAAACATACGAAAAACTCACCAGCGGGCGCCGGCGGATGGACGGTTCAGATGAAAGGTAACCGTCGTAAACACACACGCTCACTCTCGACGGTCCGCGCGGATTCCTAGGATCGGCACTGGGCCTCCCGCCCTGTCGCGCGGAGCGCGCCAGGCGCGGCGCTCCCGAGGCGCCGCCAGGGCGGCCCCGCGCAGATCCAAGGAGTCCGCGCGGACCGTTCAGAGTTTATGCTCACGCCGATTTTCCTCTGGACAGCAGCAGATGAAGACAGCATTTCCACAGGTCTGCGCAGATCTCCTCGAACGGCGCCGGACCCCCCCCCTTTTCCTGCTCGGGGACGCATACAGGATCCTGCAGGACCCTGCGCGCTAGCCCGGGCCAATGCACCCCTGGCCCCTGGCCCTGCTGGGTAGGAACCTGCAAGATCTGGCGCCGTGGCTGACCCCCAGTCGCATTGACCCCCGTCTCAAGTTGGCGGCGCGCAGAGGGGGCTATGGGGAGGGGGGGGAAGGCTTCTTAGAAGGAGGCTTCCTCTTAGAAGGCGCTGGTCTACATCTATAGATATGTCATGCGCCTTCCAACAAGCAGGGATGGTTCCAAGCAGCCTTCCCCCCTCCCTCTTTCCCCCGCCTGCGCGGGGCCGACCGATACGGTCGGACCTAGAGCAGAAGAACGCCCTTCAAGAACACGAGAACCTCCGCCGGCCAAAACATCCCAAACCATAAGATCACTCGAGGGCACCCTCCCAAAGCATGCACAAAAACATCCAACGTGGCTGACCAGTTTGCGTTGACCCGTTTGCATTGACCCCCTGTGCGCGTGGCTGACCCGCTTGCATTGACCCCCATCTCGAGGCACCCAACACGCACCACTGGGCGGCGCCTCTGGCGCCTCCCGCCGCAGGGCCGCGCGGACGGCAGAGACTCGGGGAGGAGAGAGCGGAAGAGGGGGCTCCCAACGCCCACCCAAGAAATCCGTGAGGACTGCTGGAAGCTTGCCCTTCTAGATTTCTGCGGCAACTCATGGGAGCCTCCCATACCGTCTTGTTGGCTCTTACGGATCGACGAGAATCGATACAGCTCGACGCTCAATCGACGCAAGTCGACGCTAATCGACGTTGGTCGACGCTGAATCGGCGCTATCCCATCGACTACCAAGTACCAGCCAACGCCAATGCACCCTGAAGACTGAATTCCGAAGGTCAAAAAAAGGATGCCATGCTTTGCTACCAGTACCGAACTAGATCCTCTGCGAGGTGCCGTTCCAGAAGTCGCTGAAAGTTCCTGGCTCGCACCAGCCGCAGCCGGCGGCGTCGGCCTTCGACGACAAGAACTCGCCCGCCTCGTCCACGAGACCCTGGCCCGGGTTGCACTCGAGCTCCCCGGGCAGCCAACCGTGCCACAGCTCCGAGTTCTCGCGCACCCACTCGCAGGCCAAATTCGCAACCGATTCGCCGTCCTGGACCCTCCTCTTCAGCATTGCGACCATGTTGCTAAAGGGAACCCACACATTTGCGCCAACGAGCGCGAGGTCGCTGGCGACGGCGCCCAAACCCTTGGCCATGAGCTTCCTCAGCGGGATGGACTGTAGCTGAGAGACTTCGAGCCCCGCCTCCTGCTCCTCCTTGTTATAAGGGGGAAACGTGAGAAGCTTCAGGTCGGACAGGATGAACAAGTCATCTGGGAACCACCAAAACGTAAGCAACTTGTTATTCGCAACAAGACTCTTCCACTCCGCACCGTCAGAAGCAACATCGTATACGCTCGCGACCGCGAGAGGCATGTGGTAGTAGGCTGCCTAGGGAAGGGCCTAACAAAATGCGCCGCCGCCAAGCCTCCACACGCCCGCTGTGGGCTCAGGCTCTGGCTTACATCGGCTCCCAGCTAGGCCCAGGAGGCTTGTACACAAGTATCTGGCCCCAAATTACTGTTTTTTACTGCCTGGTTGTGGTTAACATTCCCGTCCCAAATTGCCTGTTGCATGATCTGGCTCCCCCAGAGATTCTTCGTGACGACAGGGATGCACGTCTCTGGTTTGTGGCGGCACGAGGGAGACATCCACCAGACTTCCCTCGTGTCGGCACCATACGCGAAGCACTGCCACGCGAATTTAAACTCTTGACCAACGTAAATGGTGTTAGTCTCACTCACGGTCGTGTCGTTAGGGAACTGCGCGTTGTATCGCTTCAAGATGCCATGGTACCTGGTGTAATCTTCATCCAACAAGGCAGTACACGTTTGCAAGAGGCTGGCGTCGATTTGATCCAAGGGGGTAAAATGACTGCTCATTGCGGTGGCGTTGAACACATTTGAGTTGTACCCCTGGTAATAATCGAGGATAAGCTGGTCCTCGGTGAGAGCATCGGCAATCGAAACTGGATTGACGTAGAACCCCTCATCGCCAACGTAACCAACAGTGCCAATCACCTCCGGCGCCTTCTCCGGATAATTGGTCTCCCACTCGGTCTGTTGCGAACGGAAATAATTCTCATAGACCTCAAATACGAAATGATACTCCGAGAGGATGTCGCCATCCGGGTCCTGGGGGAACACAAGTACCGACACCGTTGCCCCCTCGGAACTTTCCTGGGATGCAATATGTTGGGTGTTCGATCTCGGACACTTTGTAGAACGCAACCGTCCAGCTCTGGCGCCGAAGACCGCCAGAAACCGCCAAAGACCGCGAGAAACCGCACAGACCCGCCGCGAATCGCCTGAAGACCGCCGAAGACGGCCCAGGAGTGAAGGGTAACACTGGGTCCATTGTCGGACGCGTAAAATTCTGACCAGAATTTCGAGGAGAATATAGCCCTGGCAACCTGGACTCTTCAGGGCAAGCAGCGGTGTCGGCACACGTTCCTCTGCTGAGGTCCTCAACCTTCTCGGTCGACCAGCAGTTGTGGCTGAATGGCTGGCAATTGCCGAGGGCGTACACAGCCTGACCCGAAGAGCCCAACATGTCATCGGAAATGCGTGCGTTGTAGCCGAGGACCTCCGAAGAGATGATTTTCATGATATTGGCGAATATCTGCGTCGAAGACCAGCTGCCGTGAGCCATGCCGAGGGGCATGCTCTGCATGCCTTTTGTGATGTTCTTGCGCTGGCTCTCTGGCACCAGGCTCATGCCGGACGGAAGATCCTGGTTCGTCAGGCAGCAGGAATAGCATGTCTCGTTCGCGGAGGTGCTCGAGGTGTTCTGGCGCGCGCGGCGGCGGTGGTCGCGCCAGGCACAGGCCGCTAGAGAGACGTGCGTGGAGGCATGAGGTACAAAGGCAATCAACGTGGAGTAAGTCGGTTTCGGCCCGCCCCCTCCCCCCGACTGCTGAATTCCGAACACAATGAACGTGGATTGATTTGGGTGACCCAAAATGGGGTCCAGCTGAAAAGGGGTGGTGCAACAGATTTCGGGCAATTGTATTGCAAATGTTATGCGCCGGAGAACGTATTGCATTGCATTGCACGCGAAAATCCAGCAATACATCTGCGACCTGGAATGTATTGCACGCCCCAAATGCATTGCAACCCCACAAAATCTACTGCACCAAATCTATTGCACCACCCCCTTGTCGCTGAACCCTCTTTTGGGTCAACCCGAACTGGGATAGGGGATGCTGTCAGCTAGCGGCCCCAATCGAGGAGCACAATGCGACAAGGTTGGGCCCCGGGGCGAACGTTGGACCCCCCCGCGTGGACACGTGCGCAGTATTGCGCATCCGCACACACACACACACACACACACACGCACGAACAACATCAATCAACGTACCATTGACTTGTTAATGTGCCGGCTTGTTTTACCGTGCGCAACAGGGCGCTACAAAACAATTGCGATTCGTGGTTTTCCACTGCGTAATTTGGTTTGCGTTGCATTGCGGAGCTATGTGTCGCATTGCTGTGAATTGGATTGGGCTCAGGTGCCCTACGTTGCCGCCTATTCGAATCTGGAAAGAACTATTTTCTACTGAGTTGCTGCAGTTTGTAGCGCAACGCAATGCAATTACATGTGTGGCATCGCGAATGTGCTTGCGCGCGCTGCTTTGTATCGAGGCAGCAGTGCAACGCAAAAACAATGCCGTGCAGCCATGCGAAAGAATGTATTGCGAGGTGCCACCATGCAAAGCATCTTGACGAGAATCAATGAGCATCGACACAAACGCTAAGCAACGCGGTGCACGACCAAGCCGCGCAAGACGGCGCGACCAATGCAAAACGAGGCGTGTGCGAAGCATGTGCGCTACGGTGCTGGAGGATACTGGGTGGAATGACTTGCAGCCCGCTTCAATCCTGTGCGCCCATGATGTAAATCCGCAACCGTACCCTAAGGCACGAGATGTAAGACGAAGACAAAACGCATAGAACATAGGGTAGGGATAAATCGAAAACTCTCTGAGATCCGGCGGCTCTGCAAAATGTATCGATCGCCGCGGCCTTCTCAGGGCGTTCCGGAAAGCTCTGAGAGCGTTCTGGCACGCTTCGGAACAGACTTATCCTCGGCCTAGTCCCGCCCGACGAGATGGAGTGTCCTCAGGTCCCTCGGACTCTCTGCGTTGAATTCAGCGATCATCTTTGAAAGGCCAGCGTTCTGGGATTCCGAAGGGTCCCGGGCGCTCCTGCGACTCGCAGGGGATCCCCACATGACTTCTCGAGAGGCCAAGGGCGCAGTGTTCGGGACCTGCATGTCCAACATGGCTTCAAATGGCCCCGGGGAACTTCCTGGAGGCCTCTTGGCGACCTCCCGTGCTTTGACCTGCGCTTCCTATCATCATCCCAAATCCGAATCGTCCGTTCTACCCGTCGCACTACCTCACGAATGAAACTCCTCCACTCGCATTTTGTTGCTTGTTGTTTTCCGTGTTTCGAGCGTCTGTCAAATCTAAGGGCTCGGCACCGTTGGGGGAGGCAGTGCTGGAGTAAGTGCCAGAGCCATAGTCGTCGCTGGCGGCGTATATTCTCCCCCCCCCCGGACTTATCAGCTCTCCATGGGATAATATCATTTCATATATATTCTGCACGCTCGTCCATCCGAAATATGAAGTCGAACCATCCCAGGCAGGCCGGTTCCCCCCCCTGAGGGTCCCTTGTAAAAAAAAAACCTATGCGGTGACATTTGTTGTTCAAACATTACATTATTTCACGATCCCTTGCAAAAAAAGAGACGAAGTGCACACGCGCGCGTCGTCGCGCGCGCATGCCGAAATCCTTCAAAATACCTTCGGCGCTGGAAAGATTTCGCAATCGAGTTTCCAACAAACATACAAAAGCACATGGTTTCGCAACACTGATTTGCTAAAAAAGCTTCCGCGCGAGCTCTTGCGAAATCTTAAAAGGAACCACAGGTTGTTGTTTTCAAGATTCTCACAAAATGCTACCAAACGGGCTTCGCGCGCGCGCATGTCGAAATCTGTCGAACGCCCATGCGCGTGTGCCGTCGCGAGAATCCTTTGCAAAAAACGGGACGAAGTGCAGACGCGCGCGTGGTCGCGCGCGTACGCCGAAATCCTTCAAAACCCATCGATTTCGGAAGGATTTCGAAATCGCGCGTCCAAAAAACCTACAAAAACCCAAGGTTTCGCAACACGGATTTTCAACAAAAGCGTGCGCGCGCGCTCTTGCGTCGTCGTCGTCGTCGTCGTCGTCGCCGTCCTTCCTCCTTCTTCGTCGTCCGCGTCGTCGCCGTCCTCCCTCCTCCCTCGTCGTTGTCGTCGTTGTCGCCGTTGTCGCCGTCGTCGTCCTCCCTCCTCCCTCGTCGTCGTCTTCGTGTGCGACGTCGTCGTCTTCGTCGTCGTCGTCGGCGTCGGCGTCGTCGTCGTCTTCGTCGTCGTTGTCGGCGTCGTCGTCGTCGCCGCCGTCGTCGTCGTCGTCGTCGTCGTCGTCGTCGTCGTTGACGTCGTCGTCGTCGTCGGCGTCGTCGTTGTCGTCGTCGTCGGCGTCGTCATCGTCGTCGTTGTCATCGTCGTCGTCGTCGGCGTCGGCGTCGTCGTCGTCGTCGTCGTCGTCGTCGTCGTCGTTGTTGTCGGCGTCGTCGAAGTCGTTGGAGACGTCGCCGGTGTCGTCGTAGTCGTTGTCGGCGGCGTCGTCGTCGTCGTCGTTGTCGCTGTCGTCTTCGTCGTCGCTGTCGTTGGCAGGTGCCATTTGGTACCCACTGTCACGGTCTTAAGAGATTTTGCGAACCAAGTTGCGGGTGAGTGGGTGGGATGTTTGCGCGAGCAGTGGAGTGGTCAAGCGCGGTGCAGGGTAGTCAGTTGACTCGATAGGATGTGCCTCGCCCCGAAGTGTCGAGGTGCGTGCATAGGGGTGCTGTCGCAGAGTGACCAGCACGCCAGGGCGACAGGCCGATTGTGGTGGAGGCCTGTGGCCGGGCACGCAGAACGGTGTTTTCGCCAGCACCGTCTGCCAAAGCGCCAAGAACGTTGCCAGGCTCCAAAATGTGGGTGGTGTATGCGTGGTGCGTTTGTTTGCTGCCACCTCGGCATCATCCGGATACTGATCCGATGTTCCCTGGCGAACGCTCAGCGATGTGTCCTACGGACCGCATGCGCCATGGCGTCGTAATCCACCTGAATGCGCCGCATCTGGTGGTTCAGTGGTGGTAGTAGTTGCGTAGCCCTCTGGGTGCTAATTCCCCATGCTCGGAACCAGCACTGTGGTGAGAAGTTGGAGGTTCGGTATGTCGAACCCAGCCAGCTGTAACCCGAGGAACGCTATGTCGAACATGGCACAGGTTTCGACGACGCGCTCGCTAAAATATTAGGCACGTGGCCGTCGACCAGTTAAGTACCTGAGGTGTCTGACGTGCATCCTCAATATGATCGAACTGCATGCCCGGAGTGAACAAGATGTACATGGAAGCGTCGGTGCGAATGCCTCTCTTGCTCGCGCCGAGATTTACGAGACCCCCGAAATCCAGCTGGAAGGCAGCATCTTATAACTGCGGGGTCACGTACGCACCTGTTAACACCAACCAAAACGCTAATATCATAGAGGAAATCATGAAACGGAATCTTCCCGGCTGGGCCTCAGTGTGATGGTGTGTTGGTGGCCTTGCCAGTGTCACGGCGCATGTATATGATAACAAATCCAACGCAAAACCAAACGATGACATAAGCGACCATCTCCATAACATTCAGCCGTGAATTGATATGTCCAGGCGCATTTCCGCGCGCGGAATCCGTCTTTATACACGTTGGCAAGCATTGCGATTGGAGGCATCGCATGCCTCCGTACGGCATGTTTCCATGCTCGGCTCGTTGGGAATTCAGATCCGGCTCTCCGTTTGGAGGGACTGCACGCCTGCTGGGTGCGAAATACTTGAGCACAGTAAGTTTATGTTGAACCTCTCGTGCTGGTTCGGGTAGTTCGAGCTCGTTGCCAAGCTCGTTCGGATAAGAACGAAAAGATCCATGGGGTCACGGATGGAGTGTGGGCTCATGATCGGGAGTGAGACCGTTCACACGCATCGTGCCAAAGAGCACTCGTATAAGATCAATTACGGGAGCCAACCGCACGATAGTGCGGCCAGCTCCACTACCGACTACAAAACAACGTGGTAACGCCACATGGAAACTGCTGCATTGTGAACTGTAAGTATGAAAGGAGTATGTCATATGCGAAACTCAAACTAATGTGTCTTTCCCTTTCGAAGATCACCGGCCAGTCTGTCGGTGGTCAAACTGATTGTGCACACCCTGAGTCAATGACAGATGAGGATCGCGCGATGTCCCCCCGGGACGCCTTCCGTTTCAGTCTCCGCCTTTCCTCAGGGCTTCCAAATTATCCCAGTGCGACCCTACCTAGGAGTTGGAGCATTTAGGAAAGCAACATCTACATCTACATCTACATCTACACCGACAGCTACATTTACATCTACACCTGCATCTACATCTACATCAACATCAACAGCGAGACTCACATCTACATCTACATCTATGCTATGCTATGCTGCGCTATGCTATGCTATGCTATGCTAGGGTATGCTAGGCCGCGCTATGTTATGCTATGCTATGTTATGCTATGCTGTGCTGCGCTATGCTATGCTATGCTATGAAATGCTGCGCTATGCTATGATATGATATTGTATGCTATGCTGCGCTATGCTAAGCTATGCTAGGCTATGCTATGATATGATATGCTGCGCTATGCTATGCTATGATAGTTTGCGCTATGGTATGCTATGTTATGCTATGATATGATGTGATA